CTCACTAGTGAAAGTGATGAAGGAACTAAATTTCGTTGGCAGTTTTTAAAATCCTTATTAAATCATAAAACAAAAGAAGTTTATCGAAGTTACTCTTTCCAGTGATATCATTCTCAGGCTGTAAAATGGTATATAAATATTTTATTCAAATGGTAACAGAAAAGAAAACTTTGATAAAATATTGTTTGAAGGAAATTCAGTTCTGATTATAAATTAGGAGGTCGGGAAAAGAGTTGCATAATGTTTAGTACATTGATATGTTGAGAAACTGCCAAAAGTGCTCATTAAGAGATTAGATTAACTTTCTTTAATAATCCAATGCTTCAAAAATTCACTAAGGACAAGCTAGCTCCTTTGTTCACCATGATGTGTATTTATCACTTCATCTGTTTTTTTGGAGTAAGTTGTATTGGCTACATTCAACGCCCACTTTCCAAACACATATCCGAATAGATACCAGACTGGTTCCATGAAGCAGTAAGGAGGACATTTCACAGCTTCATTTTAGAACATTTGATCGATTATGACCACACGAGATAAATGCAGAAAACAACTTCAGTGTCATCTATAGAATTCGTGTAAGTCTCATGAAAGGTGTATGCCTAATACTTCTTCACACTACGGAAGATATGCCAAATAATATTTTGAAGCCTGAAGTTTGCATTCAAAAGAAATTTGTCCAGTCACTTGAGTTGCAATAAACATAACCTATAAGATACATTTCTACCTTCAAAAATCTTCTCACACACAATACATTCCTCAACTCCTATAATTTTGATTTCTCTTTATATCCATCGTGTTACATCATTTAATTTAGTAACCAAATATTAGTTTCGTCCTTATAAGTCTTCTTATCATTACTATTTCAAACATTATGTAATTCGTTGTGATCCCTTCTATTGATTTATACAAACTAGTCTGAACTTCATTCAACATATTTCATGAAACTTCCCTTTTCCGTTATTATGTGGATAGATTATATAGGTATGCAATTGGACAGTTTGAGAATGATATCGGTGAAGGGATTGACTGTTCACTACACATATTCTGTTCTATTAACAAACTGTTCAGTAAAATCTCAATATAGTTGATGTATAATCCATCAACATGAACACTTAACTATAGATCCTGAAGTAGTAGAGGAAGAAGTTATTGAAAAGAACATTGATTAAAAAAATTAGTAGGAAACTTCCTATGCTTGGCATAATAGGGATTTGTAACTCATGATGTCACTTTTTTTTCCTGATGTTGATCTATACATACTAGTGATATGTATTCTTATAAGTAGAATTCACTATAGTACCTGTATTAATTTTGTCCTTATTTTGAAAAAAGTAATTTTCAACCTAGGTATCACTGATCCACAAATCATCGTTCATTCTATCAGAGTACTGGAATTCATGTCAATCATTGAGTTTGGATTCAATATTTGTCAATTCACGACATAGTGAGACTGCCACTCAATGTCATAGTTGAGTGTTTGTCTTCACGACCACCAGGTTTACCCCACTGGTCACAACGTCTCACTGGAACTTTGGGAATTACCCCCTCAAAGCTAGTCACCAACGAGGACTAGTCCAACTGAATTTGAGGGTTTTTGGGAATTTACAGATTTAGTATTTAGTCGTGAATGCGCACTGTTGAGGAGACCCATACTAGGACGAGACAGCTGTCCAACGCTTCCAGGTTTCCAATCTTCCTCCAACTGATATCACTCCACGGTGAATAGCAACTTGAAAAAAATGAACAAGCAATGAACAAGCTGAAATATCCAGCCCTACTAAAGGTATTTCAGTAAAAGCAAGAATACACATATTTACGGAATACAATGAATTCATAGTATTTCATTACCGTCTTTTCAATGGCGTACAGACTATGAATACCACTAATGGGTCGTGGATTCGAACTCCACTTCACCGACACCGAGAATTGGGGAGCTAAGTAGTAGTATCATTAGCTGTTGCACAATAAGTATGACTCATCGCCTACTGCGAATACATCTACACCATTGTGACCGATTTCCAGCCATTTCACCAAGAGTCCTCAACCACTGGTTCCTGTCGTCTCAACGACCCCAACCAGGCAGTCTACATCTCCCCACATGGTTCTGACCAACATTCAGGGTCTTCATGGACTGGTTCTATGTCTTGGTTAGGCCATCCCAAAGCATTTTCCAACCTAATCAACCTCCCTCGAGCACTGAACATCTAGATAGGTGGTAGATCGGTTCGTCAGGTCGTTATGATATGCAAGGCCGACCTCGAGGTTAAGGTAGGAGCTGTCGGCAGGATTTTGCGACGTCTCATGTGGGTGAAGTGATTAACGTGCTCCGCTGCTTCATTGTCTATTGTCAGACCAGGTATTAACCAAAACCAGTTGTGGAACAAAAATTTGCATTTGGAATTGTCACTGAAGTTTTCCAGAGGACTGTATTTTGTCAACATCTTCGCCTAATAGTAATATATCGTTGCATACTCTACGTCTCCTAATGGATTCTCTTTGGACAGGATCAATCCCAGTAAAGTCAAATCAAGAGAGGGATACATCCATAACCATATATACGACGCAATTGACTTAAGATGGCGAGAGTAGGCGTCATTGACGAACACCACTTGGCGTATGCAACTCACCTAATACCCTATGATAAACTGCAACACACCCATGGATATTCGAATACAGAACCTTCTCTGAGAGAAACTGCCATAAAACCTCTCGATCGATGAAGCTTATTCCTATCCCCAGCGCAATAAGGTGGGCTGGTGTGAGGTAAGTGTTCCTATGTTTCAAAATCTGATGGATAATTGAGACCTAAATGATACATCCCCGTTTAGGTCTGTAACCTATCAAGTTTCTCGAGTTTGCTGCTGCTAAGCTTCATAACTATGATTTGTTCATACACTTTAATAAAGTCGTCGGATAAATTGGCAGTCCTGAAAACCCAAGATGGGATGGATAGTGGTACAGTTTTATAGTTTAGTGTTCGACTGTTGTATTAACGTCAAACACAGACGAGGTAAATCACTCGGTATAGGCTTTAGTTATCTGGAAACCACCAGTACATCAATTCAACAGAAGAAAGGAAGGGGTAATAGATTTATAATCAAGTTCTAGACACTGTGAGGTTACCGCGGTGTGATTACGGACCGTAAATTGTCATAAAACCTATGAAGTCATACACTCAACCAACAACAACAAGCATCAGTCACCATCAACGGGAGAAATTTAACGGAAGTAGTCTCTTTCACCTACCTAGATAGAATTGTCTCAAGTACAGGCGTCACGGGCGCAGATGAGGATGTCAAAGCAGCAAGGATCATCGGAAAGACAGTAAGACAACCCTTCCTGCATTAATCTGAAATAATCGGTGTGAAGATCTACTGCACTGTACTCAGCATAAAGTGTGAACAACATCCGAATTCGCAACTAATTCAGTCAAGTCAGTCAGTGCTTCTGTGTAATGGTTCAGAGACTTGGCGCCTTACGAAAGGCATTTCCAACAAACTGCAGGCATGCACCACATGAACAGCTGCCGCCTACACTCACTCGATACTAAAGATGGAGATCAGATGGCCAGAATAATAAGAACAAGCTGGCTAGCAACGAAGCAAGAACCTACTGCCCAACAAATGTGCAGTAGAAGAAAGTGGAGATGGATTGGACTAGACATACACTGAGAGGACGGTTCGGGATATCACGCGTCAGTCCAGACCAGGCCGTCGAGTGGAAGCCAAATGGGAAACGACGAGTTGGTTATTCCAGCTAAGAGTGACATGGAGGAGATGCTTTGAGGAAGAAATGAAAGGTTGTGGGCAATGGTGGGGCTAGGTTTAAAAGACAATAGAATTCGTGTAAGTCTCATGAAAGGTGTATGCCTAATACTTCTTCACACTACGGAAGATATGCCAAATAATATTTTGAAGCCTGAAGTTTGCATTCAAAAGAAATTTGTCCAGTCACTTGAGTTGCAATAAACATAACCTATAAGATACATTTCTACCTTCAAAAATCTTCTCACACACAATACATTCCTCAACTCCTATAATTTTGATTTCTCTTTATATCCATCGTGTTACATCATTTAATTTAGTAACCAAATATTAGTTTCGTCCTTATAAGTCTTCTTATCATTACTATTTCAAACATTATGTAATTCGTTGTGATCCCTTCTATTGATTTATACAAACTAGTCTGAACTTCATTCAACATATTTCATGAAACTTCCCTTTTCCGTTATTATGTGGATAGATTATATAGGTATGCAATTGGACAGTTTGAGAATGATATCGGTGAAGGGATTGACTGTTCACTACACATATTCTGTTCTATTAACAAACTGTTCAGTAAAATCTCAATATAGTTGATGTATAATTCGTCTAACCTCGCCTGGTTAACTAGTTCACTAGTTACTAACCGGTCCTAAGCCCGGGTAAAGAGGGAAGGTTGGGCATACAGCTAGCAACCCTACCCCGGAAAACCAATCCAACCGCTACACAAACAAACAAACAGACAAAATATCAAAAATAAAAACAAACTTATTCCTCGCTGGAATCGGGGTGACGAAATGACGCCAGTTGATGAAAGCTTTCGAGGAGCCAATTGGACGATGTATCTCCTCTCAATGAAAGTGAAAGTAAGGATGGAGACATGGAATGTCCGCATTATGTTTGAACCTAGCAAGGCTGCCCAGACTGCAAAATAGATGAGGAGGTATGGCATGGAAGTGATTGGAATCTGCGAAAGCAGATGGAATGGAAGTCGACTCTCCAAACTCTTAACTGAAGAGTCAATAATTTCCAGCCTAGGTATCACTGATTTACAAATCATCGCTCATTCTATCACAGTACTGGAATCCATGTCAATCACTGAGTTCAGTTTCAACGTTTTCCAGTCTTACAGGTGAAGGAGAAGAAGACAGTTGTATGTGAAATCACCTACTAAGTATTTTACCTCCATCAGACAAGGTGCTGTATAATACAAAGCTATCTAAAGAAAAGAGGAATGCATCGTCTTTTGGCTATATTATGGAATATTTAAGCGACAAATGTGAACAACAAATTACTAATGAATATTTCATGGAATATTCTTTTTCTGTTATTATATAAGTGGATTATTTATGTATGCAATTGTACAGCTTGAGAATGATATCGATGAAAAAAGTGACTCTTTGTTAAACATCTTTTGTTTTATTAAATTCTTAACTTTTATTGAACACATTTAACCATTATACTTTCCGGTACTGATCTTTTATTGAATTCAGAATTCTGAGTAAGTTTAAAAATCCTTCAATTTACATTGTGAATAAGTTTTGAAATTTTTATTCAACTAGTCAATCTCATAAATTTATTTATTCATAATGATATTTAATTGAATACCTATCGGACAGAATGATTATTCTAATTAATGAGAAAGATTTGAAGATGTTTATCTTTCAGTAGTTCGAGATTTTATTTATCTTTCATGTTTGTTCATCATGGTTTTTAAGGGGTTTTTTTAAAAAAAAAAGTTTTCCAGTTCAACCTATGATATCAAATATTGCAAAGTATATTCAGTGAAATCACTCATGGATTATGCTAATTCTCTAGAGTCATATGAACTTGATGTAGATCGCCTGATCTTTCAAAAAATATGTGATAATCAGTTAACTTTTATATGATAGAATGAATAATACATATGCACATCAATCCTAATTGAGAAAATAAACAAACATATAAACAGAGCATTTAGTATAGTAATATTGTCAACAATAAATATAAACAGTAACATAACTATCACAATTACAGTGATAAAGATGATAAGGATGAATTACATAACATAGTAAATGAGTAAACAATAGAATATTAGATTATAAAAGTCCATATCTTTCTAAATGATCTTGAATAAGAAATCTTTGACAACCTTGTAGTATATGATGCATCATATTAGTATTCACAGCACATGTATAATAAAATAAACAAGTTCGATTTTGACAATATGGAGTTGTACCTCTTCTTGTCAATTCCTGAATAAAATGAAGTAAGTATATCTATATATTTCATTATATCAGTATTTACAGTATTCAACAACATGGAGAATTATTTATCAAAGATATAAAAAAATTTCCAAAAGAAGCGGGAAGTTTTTTTGTTTCACTTTATAACTCTTAAGGGAGAATACACCATTAGCTTCATACATGAACTATCCACCCAGAGATATTTGGGACTTATTGTGGATGCGTTAACTTTGTATATTTTGCTTCAAGTTTAGAGATGATTTACACTACAGCATGGTGATCATACAGTTTTATGAACTAGTAACAATTCAATACTACTCAAGTATGCATGAAACATTTGAATTAAACAGGTTTTTTTCGATTCTTGATGTTACATTGAATTGGAAACTAACTTACCAACGTGGCTATGCATTGTCGTAATTTAAGATGACTAATTTCAGATTGCAACGTTACGCATCATCATAGAACAGAGTGTAGAATGACAGTCAACCCTCTACCTCAACTTCATCCACTTGGAAAAGGCCTTCGACAGTGTCCACCGAGAAGTAACTCGGCAGTTGTTTCAACACTACGGTTTGAGTGCCACTAGTCTTTATCAACTTCATTCAACAGCTATATGAAGACGCAGCATGCCAAGTAATTTACAATGGGAAGCTCAGTGATGTTTTTGAAGTGATGATGGGAGACAGGAGTAGGACACGGCTGCCACCTACTATCACCTATGATCTTCGTGATTGTGGTCGACTGGATCATACAGCAAACCGTGAGGAGGGAGAAGAGGGGGATAGGCTGGCTGGACTGGGGAGAAGATCCTAGAATATTTGGATTTCGCCAATGATGATGATTTATGTCCATTGTCTTGTCGCACAAACTCGAAGACGTACAGGCAAAATCCAACAAGTTGGCAGAAGAGACAGGGCATAGAAGACGGGACTTGAAGTGAATGCAGAGAAGACGGAAGTGATGAAGATACTCAACCAACAACAGCATCAACTACAAATATCAATCACCATTAACGAGGGTAACGTAAAGGAAGTAGCCTGTTTCACCTACCCACCTAGGCAGCATCCTTTCAACTACAGGCGACACAGGCACAGACGAAAACGTCAAAGCCAGGATTGGAAAGACTGCAAGACAGGCGTTCATTAACCTGAAACCAGTGTGGAGATCTTCAATCAGCATAAGGTGTGAACAATATCCGGGTTTTCAACACAAACGCCAGTCAAGTCAGTGCTTCTGTATGGCTCAGTGACTTGGCGCGTTACGAAAGGCATTTCCAACAAACTACAGACATTCATCAACAACTGCCACCTACACTGGCTCGTCACTGAAGCTCAGATGACCAGAATAATGAGAATAAGCAACAAGGAACTGTGGAAACGAACCAAAGAAGCAAGAACCTACCACCCAACAAATATGCACTGGAAGGAAGTGGATATAAATTGGGAATGCACTGAGAAGGCCGATTAGGGACATCACGTACCAGATCAGGCCACTGAGTGCAATCCAAATGGGAAACGATGAGTTGGCGTGTCAGCTGAGAGTGACATGGAGGAGATCATATGAGGAAGAAATCAAAGCTTGTGGGCAGTCGTGGAGGCAGGTTCAAAAGATTGCAGAGAACCGAGTGGAATGGAGACGTGCTACTGAAGCTCTATGTTCCACTAGGAACCCAAGGGACAAATAATAATAATACAATAAATACTAGTAACATGTAGCCTATATCTAATGATTACTGATACTTCAAATTTAGTATCTGCACTCATAGTTTCTAATAATTTGAATTTCTAAGGTAGTCAAATCGCTAGTCAGTAATTCTTGGACATTGTCTCTGTTTTATGTAATCATGCGCTTTGAATATAACGGCAAAAAATCAACTTACTTCAAATAAATATTTAATGTAGCAAGCAGTTCGAACTGTTTCGGAATGTGTGACTATGAATTTAGGCTGTTGACTATATGGTTTACAGCCTTCTGCTTCACCATTTGGATAGATATCATCGTTGATAACGGTGTTTTTGTTAGTTCCACTACTGTTGTAGTTTTTCATAGGTTTGGTTGTTGGTAAGAGGCAAGTTAGAAATTCTGCTCTTTGTTGTGCTAAATTACAGAGAAAAAAAAATCGATGTACGCGAGATTTTGTGCTGGTCGATGAAATTTTTTGCGTAGAGAAAAATCTGAAATCTAACAGTCATATTCTTAAACTGATGGTTTCACTACCAAACTGTAGTGACTGTGAAGCTGCAATAGAGTTATGAATATACTAATGGCATGGGTTAGATGGCACTGTTAACTGGTGAAAGTCGTTGCCGTAGCGTTTAAACACGAACTGACATCATTTCCGAGAACACTGCAAACCTGGTAACACTGGATCGTTGTTTCATCTTAGCGTGGGACTCCTCAGTAGTGCGCATCCATGACCCTACCAAGAACCAAACCTGGGATCTTTAGGTTCTACCACCAACAAGTTACCACTCAGCCACTGGGTTTAAATCCAATTGTCCATATTTTCTACTCCTATCAGTCCACTCATAATATTAACCAGATCAGTGATTCTGGAGTATCATGTCATGCAAGAATTGGCTTTAAATCTCATTCTGGCGACTAATAAGATAAAAAATAAGGTCTTGGTTTTTTTTTTGCTTAGGAATGTACTTTTCCATAAAACAAAGTAATGTAATTGGCTGTCTGTTCAGTTATTAAGGTGGCCTCTTAAAGTCACTCCACCCCAAGGATTTTCGTCCTGATTATTTCAACTTTGTGGGTTAAAAATAAGTCAATTGAAAAGATTCAGGCAGTTTGATAAGTCTGTATTTGTGTTCAGAAATTCATTGGTCTACAGAGTAAGCTTTAGTTTGTGGATTTTGTGTTGGATTTCATAATCTCAACGGAAATAGTGTACGTGTAAGTTTGTTAACTAATGTCACCAGCCAGGAATGAATGTGGTACTGTAGTGTTGCCAATATTCACTCAAGCAATTCATATCACTATTTATTGGTACTTGTAGCTTCCCGTTGTTATTTTGGATTGAACTGATCAACCTCTCTTGGCATACAGGAGCTTAGGTGGATACCCTGATGTTGCTTGATTATTCATTATTTTTGTAATTTGTTTGGCAGTGGCTAGCAATGAAATCTAGAAAGCGCGTTTCGTCACATTTAAAGCTCATCAGCTGGATGCACCTCAACCCCAGTGAGTGATGGTAGTCACACTCATCTAGAACCCCATACCCATCGCACAAACTTCAGAGTGTTATTCAATAAGCTATTGAGGCACAACCCGTAAAAGGTTAAAACATTACTCAGCATCCCAACTGATAATCTTTACAACGAAGACTATTTGAAAGATTAATGATCTATGCTAGATTTAGTTGAATTCATTGATCTCTCATGCTACTTAGTCGACAGGATGGCCAAATTTTACACATCAAGTAAGAAATGCAGCTGAAAATCTAAAATCTCTGATAGTAAGTAAGAAGCACAACGATATCAAATCACCTAATTTAGCAGTCGGTGGTATAGGTAACGTAAAGAATTAGGTAAATAGTGAAAGGTCTACGTCTTATTGCTCATTCTATAGTAATTGATCAATTTGGGTCAAGTTCTATTCATTACGGCTACCACTTGACACATAACTATCAGAAAGTATTTCTCCTTAATAAACCAGTCAAGATTATGTCTATTTGCAACTGATTTATAATTTGTACGGTCCACTTTGACATTCCTCTTAGCTGTGGTGTCAACAGGGTTTCCAATGACAAACCACGTGGACCATGTAATTTGTAAATCATTTGTGAACTGATCATCCTATTTTAGGCATCCCGGTCGACACAAGTCAAATAACTAGATTCAGGTGATTGAAATTAATACAGCTCCATGAGCTGGATAACTTGTCTGTGTGCGCTGCTGATGAGCAAGCTCAGCCTGAAATGAGCAAACGGCTGTCATGTGTTTAGATCTGGCCGGGGGAAATCTACAGATCAGTGTTAATGATTTATGACTACTCAAATTGTCCAGTAGAAGTGTATTTCGCATGATCATATCTCTTGATGTAATACTTAGCATCTGACCACTTGATATTCATAATTCATATTAATAGCTGATAACTAACCATTAATACTCACTGTATTTGTCATAGAGAAGGAAAACCTTTTTGTTTACATCAGTGCATCCAATCACCAAAATTACACTTTGGTGTGATGCTTTTCATTGAAATACTGACTTCTATGTAAGCTTTTCGGAGTGGATTTAAAGGTCACCCTAGCAACTGACGGGATCACCAATCACATTTCTTTATTTAATGTAAAACTACATTTCTAGCCGGAGTACCGAAACCTGATTGGTTATCTCAGTAGTTTTTAGAGCAGCCTTTAAAAACCCAAGCTTTTTGAAGTAATATTGTACTAAAAATAAGTGACTTTAAATGCAACCCTAGCAACTGCTAACACAACCAATTAGGCTCGTCTATTTTATGAAAAGCCACCTTGGCATATGGAATACCGAAACCTGATTGATTATTTTCTCAGTCGCTAGGGCACCTGTAAACTCTTCCTCAAAGATTGACATGGGGAGAGATATAAATTACTGGTCTGGATAGCGATCAATCAAAGTGTTGTTCATGCTATAACTTCTATAGTAAACAGACAGACAAACGGTGAACCAGCCAAACAATAGGATTTTGAAATGGTGGAGCTCAGATGGATGGTGTTGATTTTACTGCTTTCTCTGAGTCGACATGTAATTAATTGTGTGCTTTGTTGGGTTGTAGCTGTAAACCCAAGTTACAGGAAGCAAACACACACCGAGTGATCAAAGCCTCAACTACAGTAGCAGCAACCAAAATATACAGAAAATTAGTTGCGTGCATACTATTCAAAAGAGCGAGAACACTGCAGTGTACAACAACGTCACGGAGAAACGAAGAAACTTGGTGTCTATCCTAAAGAAGAACGGCTACCCACGAAACTTTATCAGAAGATGCCTATCCCGTACATCACCAACTACAAAGTCATCGACAGAAATTAACAAACGCACCATCCTACCATACATAAAGAATGTATCAGAAATCACAACAAGATTACTGACACCACTTGGTGGATTGGGTGTGGCTCATAAACCAATAAATTCTCTCCAAACACTATTATGCAGACCAAAGGATGCAACAACCAAAGAAGACAAAGCGAATATCATTTACAAAATCAACTGCAAGTACTGTAGTCAACAGTAGATTGGAAAAGTGGTCACCCTCTTCGCCTTCGTCTACATGAACATCAATTGGTTACACGATTAAACAACCCAGTTCAGAGAACACAAATATAACCTAAATCAACTTGATTATTTTAAATAGCTAACTATCTATATGTTGCTGTGTCTTGTTTTGTTTTGAGTCTGCAGCCTTTCGACCACAATACACGTTTCTACACGTCCATTGCATCTTCTCCATTAACTAGTCGGGTCTGGAATTAACTATGAATTTGTTGAATGTTGATGACCGATAGTCGCTATTCCTGCATCGTGAACGGCTATAACACATAGCAGCTTCCATATCATAACAGTAGCGACGGAAATGGATTCTTCGAAGTTGGACAGTTTCTTCGAACAACAAATGAGGATTATCGAGATATTTACGCAATCGAAAGTTTCTGATACTGAATCACTGCTTACTGCGCCAGTCTTAATAACTCCTTCAATTGTTGGCATCGCCACTAGCGTCACTGAGTTTCATCACGATCCCGATATCAGTGAGACTTTCGATACTTGCTTCAGACGTTACGAAGACTACTTTAAAGTGGATTTCGCTGGTGAAGATGATTCCTGGAAGGTATGTCTCCTACTTCGAAAGCTCGGTCCACATGAGCTCCCCCAATACTGCGACATGATTTCACCGCAGAGCTCACGTGGTCGCACTTTCGATGCCACAGTCCAGACACTGAATGATATGTCTGCAGAATATCAACGAGTGGGTAACCTGAAGCGCGATACGAGTTTAGCCCATTCCCAATGCCAGGGTGGTATCGAAGTACATACAATTCGCCGGACATCACATTCCTCCGCATCACCCTCTGGCTACACACTCCCTGACCTTATCTCGCAGTTTCATCGACCCAGTAACTCATATGATACCAACTGGTCCTCGAAGAGATACCTCCATCTCTTTGCTGGCATTGTGGTGCCTGGCATTTCATCGAATCTTGTCCACCTAAACAACATCGATGCCAGGACTGCAACACTGGGGGCTATAATGAAGATTTTTTGCCGCCAACACATACAACGGTGTGTACAAAGGTCATTCTCTAGATATTGCCGCAGATCTCATTCTCCATCGGTGGTTAAATTTCTTGGCTCGATAGTCGGCTTTCGTGCTCATGCACCTACTCACCGAAAGAATATTGAGAAGACTATTAATGCCTTAGTAACAAGGAAAAACTCCTTCTGCGTCGGATGAAAGAAAAAGACAGGGTAGTCCAGTGTGACCCCAAACACCGTTCTTTATAAGAGAAAGGTGATCTGAGGATAGAGAGAAATGGCTAGTTTGGAGAGGGGCGAATCAAAATGTAGTTTATCTCATCACTCCTATAGTTAGACAGACAGGCGGTGAATCTACCAATCAACAGTATTACTTTGAACAACGAACTATCTATATATTAACATATTTTCCTTTTTTTTGGGGTCTTCGGTCTTTCGACCCCAATAAACGTTTTTATACGTCTATCATAATGTCTTCTACATTAACTAGTTGGGTTGGAAATCAACTAGGAATTTTTTGAACGTTAGTGGCTGACACTCTATATTCGTGAATTATTAGCGGCCATAACACAGATATGTTATAACATTGTTTTAAAAGGACTTACCAGTCGGCTTAAAATCTTTATATGGACAGTCTGCAATTAGACGTGCAATAGTTGTTGTACACGATACACGACTACTCTGACCACTTGATGATTGTGTACAAAGTACTGGAAGAACTGAACAATACTCAGATGAATGATTTACTCTGAATGATGAATGTAAAGAATTTACACTACTAAACTGTTTAGTCATTTGATTTTGTTCATTCCATGCATCATTTGTTTGTGAATGTTCAACTGCAGATGAATCACCGAGAATTTGGCTAAATTTTCGATTACTTGAATTATATCCAATTGATACTGGAACTAATGGTGTAGAAGATTTTATATGATTTGATGCAAGACTTTGACGTTTAGGTGGTGTACTTTTTTCACGATTAATATCGATATTAGGTATTGAAGGACGATTTCGACTGAAACTAAGCTTTTCAGGAAGATTAAGAATAGACTTTTTACGTCGAGAACATTTAGTAGATTGTAGCCATGTTTCAGCTAATGTTTGAAGACTATCTATTCTGTGACCATTACATATTTTTTCTTCAAGAAGATCAATTTTATTCAGGAAAACAATCATTGGAACTTGTCTCAAATATCTGAAAGTTTGAAGAGAAATCAACTTTATTATTTGGATTGGTTAAGATTTGCATACTGTTATAAAAATTATTAAAGATAATCTTTTATTGAGACGACAAAGGTATACCATTTTAGTTGAATTTTTAGATGTATCACAAACAGTTTAGAACAGTATTATTTACTGGATAACGTTTCGGACACAATTTATTGTCCATAGTCATATCAAAATAAATCCACAAGTTGGAGATATGGCTTACATAGCTCTAATTCTGTCTCCATCTTTATCATGTAGGTAGTAGGAGTTTCCGTATCCATGGTGCATTCGCTGATTCGTTCTTGTTGCATGTATTAGGTGTTGCTTCGATAAGCAAAGATTTGCTTGGTAATCTCCATCTCCACGCCAGTAAGCTATATTTAAGAGTTGTCATTCTTTCCAATCCTATTGTGTGGTTAGGTGTAATTGCATGTGGAACTATCGCTTAGCTTTTCTCTACATTCCTTATCTTACTAAGATCTACCAGTTTGATCTAGATAGGTTTTTATGACCGGATAGCCCAAGTAACAGGCCTAAACAACGTACTAATAAAACATAAAATCCAAGACAAGATATCAGATACTTTAAGGATCACACATTCATCAACAGTCACCCTTCGAAATTAATTCATAACTACCTCGGTAATAGTAAGAAAGAGATGACTAATATTGGCAATATAGTTACAAATAGAAGTAATAATAATGTTCATAGTCATAGCGATAATACTGTGAAGAGAGAATTCAAAACCTCTGCAGTATTACCTACCATATATGGAAGGCACCTTACAGGATTCTCAATAAGGCTGGGATTAGAGTGGCATTTAAATCTACAAACTCGCTAGAAATAAACTTTGTAGGTTGAAAATCCTTTTGACTCAATTAAGCGGAATAATTTAGTTTACCAAATCCCTTGCAATGATTGCGAGGTAATAATAGTTGTCTAGTGTCAGTGAGAATAACAAAAACGAAAATATAAGTAGATAAAAACTGATAGATCCTAGTAATTTACGGAATCAGGAAAAAAGCTCGACCATAGTTGTACATACAACTGATCACAATAACCCAATAGGATGGGAAAGAACGACAGTATTAAAAACCAACTTAGTTGGATGGAGGAAAGAATACTAAGCGGATTTTTGCTTATCAAATCAACACCTAATATATGCAACAACAATGACTCAGCATATGCTCCAGGGATATGGAAAGTCTTACTAAGAACTAAGCAAATCATACTTGAAACTTGTGGATTTATTTTGATGTGACTATGAACAATAAATTGTGTCTGAAAGGTAATCCAGTAAACAATACTATTCAAACTGTGAGGATAAGATGGAACGATTCCAGAAGCACTAAAAACAGACGCAGAGACATCAGCGAACATGCTCACACCACTATTGCAGAAGCTTTACAAAGAAGCAAGGAAAAGTGCCTGCCGAATGATTAGAAGAAGGGCTACTTGTCAAACTACCAAAGAAGGGTGACCTAAGTCTTTTCAAGAATTGGTGCGGAATCATGCTCCTCTCCACACCAAGCAAAATACTAAGCCGCATCATCCTGGAAAGACTAAAAAATGCTCTTCATTCGAAATTGCTACCAGAACAGGCTGGCTGGTTTCAGGAAAATAAATCGTGTGCAGATCAAACTGCAGCGACACACTACGCGTTATCATAGAACAGAGCATAGAATGGCAGTCAACTCAACCTCAAATTCATCGACTTTGAAAAGGCCTTCGACAGCGACGATCGAGAATTAATTTGGTAGGCATCTGCTTCAGCACTACGGTTTGAGTGCCACAAACCTTTATCAATCTCATTCAACAACAGCTGTATGTTATATGATGCTACATGTCAAGTGATTCACAATGGAAAGCTCAGTGGTGTCTTTGAAGTGATGACAGGAGATAGGATTAAGACAAGGCTGCAACCTACTATCACCGATGATCTTCCTAATTGTGGACGACTCGATGGATCATGTAAGAAACTGTGAGGAGTGAGAAGATGGGCATACACTGGACTGATGAAAAGACCCTAGAAAATTTTCATTTCGCCAACGATGATGATTTACGTCTAATGTAGCACAAACTCGAAGGTATACAGGAGAAAACTAACAAGTTAACAGAAGAGCAGAGCCAGCGAAGGAAGATGGCACTTCCTTCAGGTGAAGGAAGAGAAGACACATATGATGAGGAGACCCAAACAACAACAAAGCACCAATCACCATGAACTGGAGAAATGTAAAGGAAGTTGTCTTTTCGCCTACCTACCAACCTACCTGGGCAGCATCGTTTCAACTACAGGCGACACAGACATAGATGAAGACGTAAAAGACACGATTGTGAAGACAGCGAAAAAAGCCTTCCTGTACTAATCTGAAGTCAGTGTGGAGATCTACTCCACTGCATTCAGCATACAGCGTGAACGAGATCCGAATTTCCAACGCTAATCCACTCAAGTAAGTTAGTGCTTCCGTGTGATGGTTGAGAGACTTGGCGTCTTACGAAGAGCATTTTTAACAAACTGCAGACATACATCACATGAACAGCTGCCACCTACGCTCGCTCACTCGTACTAACACTGAAGATCAGATGGTCAGAATAATAAGAATAAGCAAAAAGGAACTATGACTTGGCAGCGAGCCAACCAACAACCTATCGCCTAACAAATATGCAGAAGAAAGTGGAGATGGATTGGATTAGGCATACACCGAGAAGACCATTTGGTGACATCACGCGCCAGGCAGTGGTAGGCCGTCAAGTAGAACCTTAATGGGAAACGACGAATTGGTCATCCTAGGGTGACATGGAGGAGATCGTGTGGGGAAGAAATGAGAGCTTGTAGGCAGTCGTGGAACCAGGCTAAAAAGACTGCAGAGAACAGAGTGAAATGATGAATCGCTACTGAAGCCCTACATCCCACTAGGAAGCCAAGGGACAATAAATAAATGAACTTTGAATGATTCAACTAATAAATCGACTAAAATGAAATTTCATTATACTACAATGCCAAGGTTTCACTTTTATAATAACAACAAAAGGATATTTTATATGAATTCTAGTCAAGATTTGATTGAATGTTTTTAAAAAATATAGGGTGTCGGGTAAAAACTTGACAATGGATATAATTCATACTTTATAGATTTCAGAGTATCCGAAATAAATAATTAGAATGTTTCACAGGGAATTAGGAAAAATTCCTAACATGTACACTCTTCAAAATAAGAAAGTCATTACGATTTTGATATTTTTATAGTCAAAAGGTATAATGATATTATGATGTTTGAAAATATTTTTCTGAATAATAACTTGTCATTCATTCAAGCAATTTTAAATACTGGGGAATTTGTTGTTTTAATCATGTGGTAGTTCATTATTATTGAACACACTTTTAAGTAAGGAGTGATTTACTTTAATATCCTTCAAAGCTAAAAGTAGTGATTAAAAATTATCTTAAAAGTCACAATACTACTCATTTTAGTGTCACCTGTGGATTTAAAGGAGTTTTTAATAACACCCAAGTAGGACGAAACGAGCGTTATGGATTCCACCGCTAGCCACCAGATAGACTATAACATAATGAATATTCAAGCAGTAACGAGGTATTTGCATAATGGCATAATGACTTTTAACATATATTGCCTCGATTATTTGGGATTATTTAATGAGTTGGAAGAAGAAATCCAATTTGTTGCTGAGACGATCATCATGCGGTACCTACTTTTGGTCAAAACATTTAAGTTTACAACCAAGTAAAGTCATTACTGACAGTCGGATAGAAAAAAGCTTACAAGAACAGAGTGTTTCACACTTTTCATCAGGATAGATAGTGACAAGAGTCAACAAGAAGAAAGATAAAGAAGGGAAAATGATGATATCGGAAGTTGTAAAACTCCTACAGTGTTAAAGAAACCTGACAATAGAGGCGATTTGATCATATTTTAATTGTAAGTGGGAGATTTACACAACGACAAGAGTTTGTAATAAAGTGAAAAATTTTCAGATATATCACCAGGGAGTAAGTCTACACTTCCTCTTATACCTGGGACTATTGAATAGACTTCCTGAATTCCTGCTGCCATTGAGGCTTATCTGCGTATACAAAATAATAGTGACCACGTATGTTTTATAAGTGTTTCATGAATACTTAAAACGTCTTGACTGATTAATAACCCTCAGTAGGTATTTCATAAATGACACCAGTGCCATTCACATACCGTTTTTAACTAGTACGAGAAATCCTATAAGGATTCTGATGATTATGTAATTGTTATTTTGCATATCCATCACTCTTTATGACCAAAGTGATTACATCCTTTACAAGGGTAACCTATAAATGAATGAAATATCTATCAAAAGTTTAGAAAATGTAAATAACTGAGCAGCTGAACTTACTTATTGGTCCATGCCTGTTCAAATACTTCAAGTGAGTCAATTAGACGGTTTTGTCGATGATCCTCAAGAAGTGTTTGATCAAAACTACTGCAATCTACAAGGAATAAAATTGCAGTGACGCTGTCGAAAAATTGAATCCATTTTTTTCTTGCACCCCTTTGTCCACTCACGTCAACTATGCTTGATTAGGTTTGGAGAAATGTAAAAAAAGGTTAGTTTCATAAAGTCTCACCTCAGCTTATGAAAACTGATTTTATCTTTGACTGTATATTCATTTATTATTAAAAGTAGAAAGTAGTAGAAGAGACGAAGGAGGAATCAGAAAATGATGAGATTAAGTATCATGGTAAGATGAGGATAATGTGTGAATACATCTGCTCCACTGACATCGGTTCTGAGTATATCACTAGGGTCTCCAACCAGCCGACCTAACCGGTTAATTCGCTTCGCCTTAGTTGCTCGAACCAACAGTCAGCGACTTCATGCATTGATGCCATGTTTTGGATTGGTCACCACAAGCCTTTTCCTAACCTGAACCTACTTCGGCTAACATTGTGTGACGAGACAGACCGTGCTTAGTACACATAACACACGTCTCAGTTATCTCAGTCGATGAATATTCACAACCACATCAACTATCTTACTCTTCTAAATAAAACTCTACACCTGATGTCTGTGTTACTCATGTGGTGATACCTCGAAACATGTCATGTGCTAAGAAGACAACGGTAGCCAAACATGTGAAGCCTTTTCATGTCTTCCATCGTCAACGGCCATGTTTCATAGCCATGTGGTGGAACAGAGCGGACGGCAACTCAGTACACTTCACTTTTAATAGACAATCGGAAATCGCAGCGGCGCCCCAAGTGGGGTAAGTTGACAAAAGCCAACCGAGCCATTTTATTCGTGTATAGATTTCGTCGGTCATCGACAGACAGACCAGGGCTGATCCGACTTTCCAGGTAGGTGGATGTTCAACACGCTCAACCACTTCACTTTCTACTGTTAGCCGGAGCACGGATGAAGACCAGTCCTGGAGCAATGGTTTATATTCGGGCGGTGAGAAATGCATCCCAAACATTCGATACATTCTCAAATTGCCACTCAAATTATCCATATAACTATGCATTTTTTCATAGTCTTTTACTTTCAAGGGTTCCGTGTAACCAGAATCATTAAATATCACCAGTATGCTCCTTTGACTTTGGTCATTTATAAAAATTATCAATGAGTAAATTATTTTGCTGATAGATGCATTTATAAAATTCCACCTGATCATTGAGGTACGCTGTTGATTTATTCGACCTATTACATTTAAATTAGGCTGCTGAAGTGATCACAGGCCTCATAGAGATAGAGAAAATTCAAAAAAGGTTCTGATGAATATGAGAATGGTGATAATGGTCGAAACAGGAGAAATTCATGAGTTGCAGCACATCTCGGAAATGATTATAACGATGGATGGTGTTTGGCAGTGGAATCAGGTACAGACGTTTTGACTCACCTAAGACTCATCAACCGGCTAAATTTGTATTCCAGAGAGTAGTGTAGTTCCCGCCAAGATTCGGACACAGGATCGAGTCTTGAAAACCACTCCTTGTATGATGGGGAATTACAATTTCCCAAAATTCCTACTCCTGTTGTACGGACCACATGAGCTATCAGCTCAATTACGATATTCAAGGGTCAGTCTTCTTGTTATTGATGTTCCTTTGATGGTTAATTCGCTTATAAACATGGCTGAAGGAATTCAAAATGAATTCTATCTTTCTTGAAGTCTGTCATAAGATCAAAGTGTTTGTCATAGGTACACAATGTGTTTTTCTGTAAGTAATCTACACATGATTATGACCAGCTCAATCATTATATCAAATTCTTAGCAAAAACACCTTACAGCATATTACCAAAACGTCATAATTAGTTAAGTGACTTACCGGAATCGAACTGATGATTTTCGACCAGTTTGAATATCGAATTGTAATTCACTGATGCTATCAGTCATTTTACGACACCTCAAAATGTCCTGAATTGACCATATGAAATATAAAATATGGTAGTACCCAGCGTAATAATGAAAATGAATTCATCGGTGACATAAACGTTCATTTATAGGTGATTTTTGGTACAAATCATCACTACCTAAAGAATTCTTTCTAAACCAAGATATGTATTTTAAAGCGTATAGAGATTTTATTTCTAAGGTAGTATTGAAGACGAACTCATAAGCTGAAGAACCATTGAAAACCTGAGAGTACCGGGTAGCTATTTTGTCTTAGCATAGAACTCTTCAGCGGCATGCACCCACGATGATGTTAATAATTGAACTCAAGGCTTTTGAGTGTCAGACAACCCTATTGCATAAGGCTGGTTAGTGAGAAGTTTTGAGATGGATATCTCGAGGTTACAATGAGGAGACGTCACCTGTGGGGTCAAAGATGAAGCGTATCCGAACTGAAGACATTAGATGATAGCCGTGCTTTATCACGAATTGACAGGAGTAGGGAACTCCAACTCAGTACCTGAATGTCCAACTCATCTTGCCACGAAATCTGGAGGAGTCACCTACTGCGACGAAACATCTGTCGATTGCTTCTAGGTTTTCAAACTCTCTCCAAATATTGTCAGTCAGTGGCGAAAACTGCATAAAAAGTAGGATATATGAAAGCGCTGTTACGTTCTAGTTCATAAAGGTACCAGACAGCATTGCCTTCAATCTGTTTGGATCCCTGAGAGAAAAAACCTAAATTAATGTAATCCTTATTGAAAGTTTTAGAATTCATATCCTGGTTCCATATGACAACATATCGAGTGGATCTATTAGTCATCTGCAAAGCAGTGTGGTATACTTTCCTTTCCGTCAACCTTGAGTGACTCAATTGAAAGCTGGTTTATCTTGTTTAGTCGTGTTCATTGGGTTTTGAAGGCAATAAGCTTCAATGTAAGCAATATAATGCGATAAATTGAGGTTGTTGTGGCTTGAAAAGGTCAAAATGATCACCATCCACCCTCTGGGAGAAATTTAGAGCAGTATTCCCAAACAGGTTTAATATTTGTCTCCGAAGAGCATATTAATTTAGATGATAATGACTCTGGACCTATAGAATTTCACCTCAGTGAAATATACTGGGTTGTGTAGTATTATTATACATCGTATATTCTTAGTTTGGTTGCATTATATACTTGTCAATGGATTTCGCTGTTGCCATCATTTACCGACCAATCAGCATATTTAAGTAGCACATCCCAAGCTTCCAACTCTACTGTAATATCAGTGGACATAAGTGAGGTGTTGCAGGTAGTGGTGCTGTCCAGTTATAACGTGACTTATGGTGGAAACTGCAATTTGAAGTCACAAGTGACTCAATTTGATTTCTCGACATCATTCTTCATACATGACTCTACTTACTTCCCACCTAAGATGTGGATGTCTAACCAAGACTCTGTACATGAACAGACGATGTAAAACACGTTTTAATGACAGACAGTATTTTAAAAACTGTACAAATAGGTAAAATATGCATTTAGAACACATAAGATGCGCATTTTCAAACAGAACGCGACAATCTTTAACAAGCACGTTAGCACCTACAGATAACGTTTAACTTCATCTCAGTATATATATACATATATATGTATATATGTTACGTAAACTGTGGGATAGTCTTTATATTCAACTTACTCTTTCAAAAGCATATCGTGAAATTTAAAGTGTTCCAACAAGAATAGGCTTTGTCAATACCTTCAAGGCTGATACGGAGTACTTTCACTGTAAGTGGCTATCGCGTCCCAGTGGCTTATCAGATAAAGCTCTGGCGTTTGGAGCGCACGGCACTGGGTTCGAGCCTCAGAGGGAACAATATCACTCACTGGGGTGCAGGTACATCGAGCTGACGAGCCCCAAATACGATGAGATGCACGTCCTGGGCCGCTCTGCTAGTCACTTAGATCAATATAGACTACCTGGAGTTGAAAAAATAGAAGAATTATGATCTAATTGAATGGAGGCGATTGGCAGGAAGCTCTGCTCCACTTAGATTTCGTGCTTTTTGGCACTCATCAGCAAGGAGCATCTGCAACCTCGAGAAGTTTGATATTCTGCCTAAGATTCGAACCCACGTCACCCAACATTTCAGTTAGTAACGATACCACTAAGTTATTCAGGCCGCAGTTGACCTCACTAGGTGATGCTGGTTCATAAAACAGTGGTAAGCCTTTTAGCCCAGTGGCTACATAGTAAAATGAACAATAGAATTGGATCAATACCTAGGATATGACCATTTAAAGTTGGTTCTTCACCAGTAACCGATCATTGTATAAGTATTACGGTTATCGAAAATATTTAATACATAACCAACATTTTCCAACTCGAATACTACTTAAAACGTTGTTATCAGTTTTGGAATAGAGATAGATTTATGGTGTTTCATTTAAGCGAAAGACCTCATCTAATGCTGTAGCTATACGCCATATCTACTGAGTTAAACTATACCAACTCATAAGTGGATAGTTATACCACTAAGCGATGAAAAAACAATTCAGTTTACAATTGAATGATTGAAGGCTAGTTTTATTAACCTAAAGCAGAATGCATGATGCATGCTCTGTTTCATTCAGTAATTGTTAGTCATGCCAAAGACCGTAGATAAAAGAAGCGCTATTAAAATGAAACTGAATTTTAAAAGTCATACCCTGGTTGAAATAATCATCTCAGGTCCTACTATTGTTTATCTAAATCAAACTTAAAAAGACTAAATTCGGTTTATTTATTAATACCTGTGATTCCCCGTTGTTTTACCGCATCAAATTGATCGACCTATGATGGTGTATAGGCTCTTATACACATTGTTCAAAATTGCCTGAAGATTTGCTTGGTGTTGGTTAGCAGTGAAATCTACCGTACGAGTTCTAACCTATCTGGGACTCGTCAGCTGGATGTACCTACATCCTAGTGAGTGAGTGACTGAAACTTGAACCTATCATCCACTATCTGATCACCGAGTGAATATCATCATAATAAATCGTCGGACAATGACGAAGTATATGCACCGAAGCGTTTATTCTAACTGGTATTAGTCAAGTATACCTTGTGAAACAACAAGAAATCACAAAATTCAGTTAATGATTACAATTCAAACCAGTACCTCGAAAGCCCAGTGGATAGCCCCCTGGCATTTGAAGTAATGTGTGCCGTGTACGAGTCTCATTGGGAACAGCATCACTCAGCTGACGAGTCCCAGACAGGACGAAACACGCATTCTAAATTCCACTGCTAGCTACCGCTGAGCTAAAAGTAGTCAATGAATAAAGCCGTCCGTCTTTTCCATTCCAAACGGAGTTCATCTCGGAAATCCATCTAGCGTTTCCTATGATTTGTGTGATTTTAGTCAACTTAGATGTTCTTTTACAAGTGATTTCGATTAATGTTTACACACTATCTTCACACAAACAGATTCTATATCAATCGATATTGAATTACAACTAGAAAGGCGTATTCAGCTCCAGTTGACCTGATTTTTTCATAAAGCCGATCCAATAAGTCATATGAAAAGCAATTACTCAGGTCATATATCACCATTAATATATATATATATATATATATATATATATATATATATATATATATATATATATTCGTATATGAAACCCCCTCACTTCAGAAGTAATTTTGAATATAACATGCTTCCAGTCTAGGCTTTAAGTTAGGTAGGAGCACACTTGAGTAATATCTTATGATGGATATTATGGGATAACTGAAAGTAGATCTACAGCTCAGAGGGTCTACGCATAATGACCTCGATAGTGAAATCTTGAATACAAAACTTATTCTTCCAATCTAAGCTTAAGTTACCATATAGTTTGATTGTCTTTCACAAAAACAGCTACACATCTTTATTTCTAAATGTTTAAGGTGAACATTTAAAAGGCGCGTATAGAACATTGTATACTCACCTGATCTGTAGGTATATAATCTGGTTTTCTGATCGCATCCATACGTCGCATAAAACTAAGTATGGAAGATGATAGAAACACATAAGTACTTTTGTAGAAACATTGACAGTAAGTTTATAGAACTGATACACCTATAAGTCTACTTTTTAAATTTTGTTTGTGCTTTGAAGTTTCTTTAGCGGTTAGATTTGTTTTACGGGGTAGGGTTGTTAGCCCTATGCCCAACCTTCCCTCTTTACCCGGGCTTAGAACGGACTAGTAACTAGTGAAGCCCTATGTTCCATTAGGAACCCAAAGGACAAATAATAATATAAATAACTCTGGGAACGAACCAACCAAGAAGCTATCGCTCAACAAGTATGCAGAAGGAAGTGGAGTGGATGAAGCATGCACTGAGAAGACCATTCGGGGACATCATGCGACAGACCCACCAGTGGAACGCAAATGGGAAATGGTGAGCTAGGCGTCCGAGGGTGACATGGAGGAGATTATGTGAGGAAGGAATGAGAGCTTGCGGGCAGTTGTGGAACCAGGTTCAAAAGATTACAGTGAACAGAGTGGAATGGAGACGTGCTACTGGAGCCCTATGTTCCAATAGGAACCCAAGGGACAAATAATAATAATAATAATAAGTCTACTTTATTCAATTACTATTTATTTCCTTTCACAAATATAAAGACGCACAGTTAGACAAGTTATAATGGGTTCATTAAAAAAACCTTACAAATAAAGTAATAATCTCCAGTTATATTACTTAAATTAGTAATATATTTTGTCCTATATCTTATATTAGTGTCGTTGCTTGTATTATCGACACTAAAACTATAGCCATCGCACAAGAAATGGCTATCGTGTCTCGGTGGTCTAGTGAATAGCGCTGTGGTGTTTAAAGCGATTGGTCCCGAGTTCGACTACTGGTGGGAACTACATGACTGACTGGGTGACAGGTACATCCAGTTGACAAGTCCCAAATAGGACGAAACGTGCATCCTGCATTCCATAGCTAGCCACTATCCATCATTAATCAACCTTACAATGTTTACAGTATGCAATAGTAACGATTTATGTTTTTCTGGTCTGTATTTGCCTTTCACTTCGTATTTTGCTTTTATAGTTCTTACTGAACATCTGGTTTGTACGAAATGAACTTGTAATTTATTGGCAGTAGGGAATAGTGTAGGATCAAGAAAAAGATATTTAGCGAAGGGACTCTTTTCAACGAATTTTTTTTGAAGCTGTACATTCGTATATATATATATATATATATATATATATATATATATATATAGTGTTTAGTTTTCCTTACAGGAAATAATTTTTCCAATATCACATATACACGAATGTATAGCCTCAAAATAAACTCGTTTATAAGAGTCTCTTTGCTGAATATCTTGTAATGATGGCGAATATTTGTAGCTCAGGTGGATGGTCTTGGTTGTATTGTATTCTCTAAGCTGGGTTGTTTAATCGTGAAGCTTTCATCACCTCGCTAGACAGCGACATCATCAACACTAACTTCAGTATGAAGTGAGTAAGCTGTCAATATCTCTCCATCACTGATTTACTGACTTGCTCTGACTATGTGGTCTGTGATTGTTGTATCCTTCAATTGTTGTGTCATTGATTGTATAGACTCTCCTGTTGGCTGTTCCCCTGCTTCACCTCTCACCTTTCTATCGTTTATCATTTTTCTTAATGGTTGATAGATCGGGTGTATGTCTATACATCTGTTGATTGCTGACTGACTGACTGACTGACTGAGCTGAATGCCAAGCTTCTAGGAATTCTCTGATATTCTTTGTGTTTCTCTCTCTGTCCAAAATTTCTACATTGTCGAAATTGAATTCATGTCCATAGTTGTTATCCACGTGCATTGAAATGAGTGATGAAATGTGGTGACGTTTAATAGCCAATTGGTGCTCGTGTAGACGAAGGCGAAGAGGGCGACCACTTTTCCCAATCTACTGTTGACTACAGTCTTGCAGTTGATTTTGTAAATGATATTCGCTTTATCTTCTTTGGTTGTTGCATCCTTTGGTCTGCATAATAGTGTTTGAGAGGAATTTGTTGGTTTATGAGCCACACCCAATTCAACCAAGTGGTGTCAGTAATCTTGTTGTGATTTCTGATACATTCTTTATGTATGGTAGGACGGTGCGTTTGTTGATTTCTGTCGATGACTTTGTAGTTGGTGATGCACGGGATAGGCATGTTCTGATAAAGTTTCGTGGGTAGCGGTATATCTTGTTCTTGATGTTGCAATGGGAATTATTAAATAGTGTAGGAAACGATAAGATTGAAATGAATGAAGGAATGTTCATTACTGACATCTTGTACGGGAGTCATCAAATATTGTACACGCCCATATTGTCTGTTGGGCTTCTCTGGATAGAATATTTACCCATTGCTGGTAATGGCTTATAATTTCTGCCGCCTTCTCAACATACACTACTTATATCCATTATGACCAGAAGTACCCACTACAATAGGACGAACAAAGTTGCTAATCTATTGTGAATACTACATGCACCCATTTTTGTCACCTTTTAAAGTTTAAAATGAGAATAGTGGTTTACATGAATAAGGTAAAATATCTGCATTAAAGAGAAATTTGAACTAACTTAAACTATTGGTGGTAATAATGGCGACAGGGTGGAGACAGAATTCAAAGCATCTACTGTGTTACCATACAAAGAAGGTGCCTTGGAAGCGTTACTAAAAGTTCTCAATAAGGCTGGGATTAGAGTGGCATTTAAACCAACCAAAATAATTCAGTTTATCATATCCTTTGCAAGGATTGAGGGGCCAGTAGTATAGGTAAGAGTAGTTGCCCAGGTTGAAAAAGAATAACAGCACAAAAATGTAGCTAAATCCAGGACGTCAATTTCGTCTTATTTCCGAATCGTTAGCTGGATTATACCTCCACCCTAATACTTGCATTTGTCTAGCGCTCATTAACAAATATATGATGAAATTGATATGAAGTGTTTTTGGTTGAAATATATTCATCGAAATTCCCTTAGAGACAACTATTCCAATCGTCCATATTTCCTACTTCTATCAGTTCACGACATAGCACGACCGTCACCCAACGTCACGGCCACTAGCTTTGCCCCACTGGTCACGACTTGTCACTGGAACTTCAGGAATCACCTCTCGAAGCTAGTCACCAATGAGCACTAGTTCAATTGATTTGGGGTTCGTGGCGATTTAGAGATATTGCAAGTTGGTATTCATCATGGACTAACATCATGGGCTCTGACCATATCGAACCCGCATTCATTTATATGGACCTTTTGACCTCATTTTTTTTATAGAAGCACAAAAGAAGCCATTATCTGCCATAGGAGTTTCGGCCAACTGCCAACTCCTAAAACGAACTAGTCCAGATGCCACAAAATATGCGCCTAACAAGTAAATACATTCTACTTTCAGCAGCATGTATCCATATCTGTGTTCATTATGTATCCAGCTTCTTCGCTAATATATTATCTGGAGATAATTCATATACAAGGGAAGCATTAAGTAACTTAGTTGAAGCAAAAAAGATGATCAGACGTACCTTTACTGAATAACTAAGAAATCATCAGTAAAACTGACCACACATTGGTAGAACTTTTTCGTTTCTAAATGATGAAATATTTCCTACTTTTCCTGAACTTCTAAAATTTATTTATATTTTCAGTTAATTTACAAGCTTTTTGTTGTTATTCCACTATAAACAGTACGACATTACTATAATGATGGTTTCATTTCACAGCAAAGCAACATTCTCACAAAAGTTTAGTGAGATTAATATTATCAAATATTGAAATATACTAACCAATAATGATGTTACAAATGGTATTCTCTTTTCAATATTAATCATAGTATATCGCTTACTCACTAAGTAGCTGAATCGAATAGTTGAAATTCACTTGCTCTTGTGTATGCTCTCTGAACACCAGGATCACGCCAAATTTCATCCACTTCATCAAAAAAGCTCTGAAATATTGAAAATTAAGGGGATCAGTAAAGTATATTTAAGAAAGATAATGAAATCAGTTCAAGAGATAATTAGTAAACGTTGATAGCAAAGAGTGTTCACTAATTCCCTTCATGATTAGATTGAACAGAGGTTCTCAGTCCTCAGCAAGATATCAGTGATGCTTTGATCATTTACTGTCTTGCCTCTTGCGTTTTCCCTGTTCAGTGAAAGTTTGTAAATATATGTTTGCGACAGCATATATAGGTTTACTATGCTTCTTGTTTTTGAAGTCTAACTGTCTAATAAAATTGAAACTCAGCGTGTTTACTTGGAGCTCATAATGTATGAAGTTTAGCTGTTAAATATGCGTTTTAGGATATACTGAATTATTACAACATGGTTGCACAATGAAGTTGTCTATGGTCTATGTTACAAAATCATAACTTCTATTCTTCCCTAAATATGATCAGTAGTTAAGCCTGGAGAATATTTGTAGCTCAGGTGGATGATCTTGGTTGCATTGTGTTCTCTGAGCTGGGTTGTTTAATCGTGAAACTTTTATCGTCCTGCTAGACGACATCATCAATTTCGACAATGCAGGAATTTTGGACAGAGAGAGGAAACACAAAGAATATCAGAGAATTCCTAGAAGCTTGGCATTCAGCTCAGTCAGTCAGTCAGTCAGTCAGCAATCAACAGATGTATAGACATACACCCGATCTATCAACCATTAAGAAAAATGATAAACGATAGAAAGGTGAGAGGTGAAGCAGGGGAACAGCCAACAGGAGAGTCTATACAATCAATGACACAACAATTGAAGGATACAACAATCACAGACCACATAGTCAGAGCAAGTCAGTAAATCAGTGATGGAGAGATATTGACAGCTTACTCACTTCATACTGAAGTTAGTGTTGATGATGTCGCTGTCTAGCGAGGTGATGAAAGCTTCACGATTAAACAACCCAGCTCAGAGAACACAATGCAACCAAGTAGTGAAGCCTAATTACACGAAGACTTGATTATAAGTGACATTATTGTGACTCTAAACAAGTGAGACGTACGACAGGTTTTAGATTATATTACATTTGCTCAGTCTATCACTGATCTTAGGAAGATTAAACAGAAATGAAATTTCGGGGTTCGTGAACTTCGCAAACATTACTTAATGACCAGACTGATCGGCCTAATTTTACATGTATGTCTGTATATCATTTGCAATTTTAGTTTGATGGTAATGATGTATAGTAGCTGGCAGTGGATTCCAGGATGCCTGTCACTTGAAGGCAGGTACATCCAGCTGACGAGTTCCAAATAGGAAGAAACAAACGTTTTGCATACCGCTACTAACCACTATCCATTATGACTCCTAATGAAAGCTGAGTGCATTCAACAAGTAGGATTTTATCAACAGGAAACATTTACTGATCGAAATAAACTACAAAAAAACTTTGTAAGCTTTACAACTACTAAGAGAAGGTTTGCAGCTGAGCATTTTATTACTCATTTGGAAGTTGGGAATAAAAATAGTCATTCTTTTAGCTTTAATCTGGTACATTCTGCTGCAACAGAATGTGAGGACTGTTGTTAAGGAAACACGTCATTTCTAGAAATAGTGTAGTAACTGATTCCTGCGAAGCTTCAAATTTTAGATAATCGCTTGTATTACACCGTCGTTGACTGGACCTAATGGACGGTCTCCATTGGCATATAAGCTCCTGTGCGGATGCCTCGATATTATCTGTGTTCTAATTATAATAAAGATGGATAATGGCTAGCAGTGGTGAGTTCAATCAATAACGGTATAATACAAGCAATTATACTAAAACTATACTCATTGCACAAGAAATGGCTATCTCGGCACGGTGATATAATGGATAACGATATGGCATTTGAAGCAATCGCTCCCGAGTCCGAATCCCGATGGGAAAACATCACTCACTGGGGTGTAGATACATCCAGCTGGAGATTTGTGTAGGTTTATTAATTCATTTTATGTTAGAGTTCATCATGGATTGACATCAGTTAGAGGAACATTGGAAACCTGGGAGCACTGAACACCTGTTTCGTCCCAGTGTTGGACTCCTCAGGAGTGCGCACCCATGACCCCGCCAGCCCCACCAATGATCGAACCAAGGACGTTCAGGTTCCGTGGCCAGCACGTTACCATTGAGCCACTAGCTTGGCAAAATCCAAACGTTCACACTTCCTACTTCTATCAGTTCATGATATAGCGCGACCTACATCCGACATCGTTCGACTTGGTTGACTCCACTAGTCACAACTTCTCATTGGAACTTGGGGAATCATCTGTCGAAGCTAGTCACCAATGTGAGCAAAATTATTCTATCAGGAAGTTTGCAGAAATTTATTAATTGATTTTAGGTTGGAATTCATCATGGTCTGACATCAGTTGGAGGAACATTGATGATTGTACAAAATCTAGGAGGCTTTCAATCAATGTTTCTTACCAGTAACCTCTAAAATTTCGTCATCACTAAATCTGCATTAATCTTTACACTGAGTTGCTTGTTTAGTGGTTCTTTTTCATCACTAAGCAAAACATCATCTGGTTGTCGGTAAAATTTAGTCACATTTCAGCAAGTAAAAAATCGACATCATTGGAATGCTTCACAGTCATTATTTTTCTTTTCATAAACCTACAGCTTATATCAGCTTAATCTACCGTAAGTATGTACATTCGTAAGTGAAAATTCAGCTGCCACGTCATTCTACTATGCGATAACTCTCTGTATATTCTGCTACTCATAAAATCTTAAACAAACGGTACTTAATATTGCTTTATGAGTAATAGTAAAATTGGAGAAAAAATTATGACTCCATTTTCAAACCAAAGATCTGGGTTCAATCCCTGGTGCGGCTGGGTCATGGGTGCGGACTGCTGAGGAGTCTAGCACTAGGACGAAATAGCTGTTCAGTGCTCCCAGGTCTGCAATGTTCCTCTAACTGGTATCAACCCATGATAAATTCCAACCTAAAACCACTTATCACAGTCGTTTATCGGAAACGGTCTAACACACTGAGGTTAAACTGACTCAACTAACTCACAACTACCAACCTTCCTTAATTTTAAAAGTTATTCTTTTCCAAACATTTTGTTTCTGTGGGTACTTTTGTCAAGCGTTGTTAGTGGGTCAATGTTGAGTTTGAACAGGTGAGAAAATGCATCCGAAGAATATTTATAACTAAATATGAAACACAAACTTTTCGACAAACTAAACGTAAGCATAGTGAGATAAAATCATTGAATTCCACGTAAGTTTCCTGGAAAATTAGATTTCTCTTGCACTTAATTTTCTTGAATATCTTACTTTCTATTGGCGATAAATCCAAAACTCCTTATTATGAAAGAACTAAGCACAAAATAGAAAGCTTGGGTTCAGATGAACAACAATTTGCAAACAATTTGGAAGTCACCACAGAATGACACCAATTAGAGAACCATTGAAAACCTGGGATCACTGGACATCTGTTTTGCCCTAGTATGGAACTCAGCGGTACGCACCTATAAACTTCTCACGGATGGAACCCAGGACCTTCAAGTCTCATAACGGGTACGTTGAGCCACCAGGTGGGAGTTCAATGGTCCGCATTTTCCTACTTCTGTTAGTTCACTATATAGCGTGACTTTCATTCAGTGGCATCGTTGAGTGGTGAATGACTACTTCAAATCAATTAATCTCCACATACATCTAAATTGAATTAATGTCCAGTCCTCATTTGTGACTAGCTTTGAGGTGAGATTTCGCAAAGTTCTAATGAGACATCATGACTGATGAGGCAAATTAATCTAGATGTAACGAAAGGCACTAGACGACGGTACTGGATAAAGGTTAAGGTATATTATGAAGTGACAGAAGTAAGAAAACATGAACCATTGGACACCGACCCAGTGGCTCAGTCTTAACATGCTGGCTAAGAAGCCCAAAGGTCATAAGTCCTACCCTTGACGGGGTATAGTGATGGGTGCGCAATGCTTAGGAGTCCAGTATTAGGACGAAGCAACTGTTCTCAAGACTATCTCAGTCAGTGATGAATGCTCACTTGAAATCAATAAGTCCCCGTGAACATCCAGAATTAGATTGTAAACAGTTTGATTGTGCGCGGTTTTCTTTGAAGACTCATGACAACTATCAATAATACTTAAAGTATGCCTAAAATATCATCTTTGTCGTAAAGTTTTTAGCTCATACAAACATCGAAAATGTGTTAAACAATCAGTAAATATACATACACCAACATATCACTGGACAACAAACAATTTATTTTTGTCTAGTCAAGAGCATAGACCAGATTGCATCAGTCACTCTGTAATGTAGCCATCAAGCTAGGAGGCTCACCATCGCAGTACACTTTGGTGGATGATATTTGGCTGAAGGCAATCGGTAGAAAGCCATGGACCTAAGCTTCGTGCTTGTTGCTAGCACAGCATATCTGCAACCTCGACGGAACTGATATCTCGCCTAAGATTGGAACCCGCGTCATCCGGCGACGTTACTCCTGAGCTATTCGGGCCGCGACTCAGTTCTTATAGGATTGGATTACATAAACTGATTGATCACTGCAAGGCAACGAGTATCATGTTGTCTAGTGCTGAAGTACTCACCAGATTATATCGGTCATTTAGCAATGCAACCTCCTACCAACTTACATCCAGTAGATATACACGGGACATTTCTGGCATCTTCATAAGTGGTTTACTTACTTCAGGATAATTATATTCTTCTGCCAATGATTTTTCCATAAGACATTTTGCTGTATCCGCAGTACGAGACTGAATAAAATCTAACTGTAGTGTCTTCATTCCACCAAGGATTGACTAAAAAATAAAGAACATGAAATGAAAGTCAGTGTTTAAACAAAATAAATAAAAACAACATTGTTTGTATCTAGTCAAAATTAGTCATACACATGAAATCAGCATAATATGATGCCTATGAGGACAAGTTAGGTGAGAATGTCTCCAGAAATGTATAAGCTACTTGGCTGTAGTACATTTTTAGGATTCTAATTAATGTGAATAATGCAACAACAAAGATATTTGCAGTATAAAATGGACTCATTTTATTTCACAGTCTTTCATCAGCTCCAAACTGTCTAAATTTGAAACAATTAGTCCCTTTTATGAATTTGGATAATGTAATTAGAAGACGTAGATTATCTGAAAAATGTGATGTATTAGCGCTATACATTTCAAACAATCTGATCACATATTTACTTGTTAAGGCATTATATATGAAAACTGGAAGTGGGGGAAGGACACATATGACATAAAGGAATTCAATAATAAGAAAGATAATGAGAGAATAAAAGATAAGACTTGAAGACAATCTTGGTAATACAATAAAATAAGATTACCAAGGTAGGCTTAATGTAAGATCAGTAAGATCAGACTACTAGGCTTTGCCCCCACCGGTCACGACTTCTCACTGGAACTTCGGGAATACCTCTCGAATCTATTCACCAATGAGCACCAGTTCAATTGAATTTTGAGGGAGTTGTGAGGATTTGGAAGTATTTCAAGTTGCGCTATATTGTGAGCTAACAGAAGTTGGAAATATTGACCATTAGATTCTGACCCAGTGGCTCAATGCTAACGTACTGGCAACGGAACCTGAAGGTCACGGGTTCGATCCGTGGTGGGGTCGTTGGTGCGCACTGCTGAGGAGTGGCATACTAGGACGAGACAGCTGGCTGTCCAGTGCTCCAAGGTTTCCTTTGTTCCTCCAATTGATGTCAGTCTACGATGAATAACAACTTGGAACTGATAATTTATTGACCTGTCATTCGCTACTTAATAACTTTCGAAATAATGAAGAAACTAGATTGAACATTCAGGTGTCATGATTGTTTTATTTCATTCCAACATTTCCTATGAGATCAAGTAGTGTGATTATGAATTGTCACAAGGTACGTAGCAGTTGCTCTTATGTCCAAGCTTCACATTTTTCTCGAATGTCACAAAGTACTGAATACCTTTGATAGATAGTAATGATGGATGGGGTCTAACAGTATCATGTGCCAATAGAGACCGATCGATTCAGTCCAGTCAATCGTGGGATAATACAGGCAACAGCATTTTTGATAGATGATTATCCCAGCAGCCTGATTATTCGGTTATAACTTCTGAGCTCACAAACTGTCTATTGTAGCGATTCCACTAGCTGAACTCAGTGCCATATCTCGAAAACGATAAAATTGTAGGCTAAAGTGCTAATTTGAAACAGTTAGTCCCTTTTATGAATTTCGGTAGCGTAATTAGAAGACGAAGTTTATCTAAGCAATGTGATGTATCTGCTCAAACATTTCGAACAATCTGATCACACATTTACTTGTCAAGTCAATATATATTAAACGAGGACTGGGAGGGGGATAAATACAACAATTAACACAATAGGGGATTAAAATTAAGAAAGATGAGAACAAACAGGAAGAGTAACATAGTTAATTCTGATCTTGGTAAGAAAACAAAGTTTACCAAGGTAGGTGTAGTGCAATAACAAACTGTTTTTGTATACATAAAGGTGGTTTAAATTTGTGCATGTCTATGGCTTCCGCAAATCTCAGAATACGTCCCTATATGTTTCTATATAAAACTTTGAAAGCTGTTTGAACATTAACTTTGTGACCTGTTTCTATGATATGTAGCTATAGATGAAGGGGGTCGTTTCCCACCAGCGTTTATAACTGTTTCACACTCCATTTGTTTTTGAAGCAATTTAGGCACATGTTCTCTCACTGCTAATATCTGATAAGTCTACTAGGTTATGTTGCTTATCAATGCATTTCATTGTAGTTAGAAATAAATAGTCAACTTATATCTAAGCTTGCAGGAAATAAGTCGGCATTACTGAATATTTACGCACAAATAGTTTCTCAGTGATTGTAGTAGTGAGTAAGACCACACCAGGAGAGATACACGGTACCTTGAACCAGTGCATTGGTTCAACTTGCCACACTTTACAGCAGCAAACAAAGAATGAGTGGATAGGAAAGACTGATATCAAAATAAAAAAAGGTGTAAATGAATGGAAGGAAACCAAAAATTAAGGTCAGTCAAAACATGTTAGCTTTATCAGACATTAAAGAATGAATAAATCTGTACCATTGTGACTTATTTCCATCGATGTCACCAACAGCACTCAACCACTGATGTTAATGGTCACGAGAACCCAGCCAAGCAGTCTAAATTTCCCCACACGACTCAGACTAGTTGTCAGAAACTGCATAGGTTCGTGCTAAATCTTGTTCTGACCACCCTTAATCTTTTTAATGTAATCCATTACTGCCAGCAATGCAAATTAGGGTGGATGGTGGCTCAACATGCTCAACACTTGTTCAGGTCACCTGCTTCGTAGAAAGTTCAGCGTTTGGTTAGCAGCACCTACCGGCTTGATACTCCCTTTATAGTCAGAAATTATGATAACACCTGACGGTTGACAATCAAATGCCGCCTTCAGGTCGACAAATATGACAAAAGTCGGCCGTCGGTAACTATGCCTGTATTCTATAACGTGATTCAAATAAGACTCGATTAAGACACTCTCATAGAAGTTGAGTCCTGCAAGGTTTCTTCGAGTTTGTTATTATCGAGCTTCGGTTAGGCATTGAATAATTATGAACCAAAGGAACTTGGATACGATACTTGCCAAACTGGTTCCTCTTGATTGTCACACGAAGACTTTTCCCCTTTCTCATAGACTGGGATGATAGTGAAGTACACCAGTCTGACGACACCGCCTCTGATTCCCATACACTATTAAGTACCTTTATTGCTTTAATCACAAAGTTTTTATCTCCATTCTTGAAAACTTCAGGTCGCAAACTGTCAGCTGGTTCCGCTTTCTGTTGTTCCAGGTCCGATACAGCTCTCTCAACTTCAAGAGGAGTTAGAGAACCGATATCTGTGTCCCGTCCGGTTGATGCTAGATGTCAGGCAACTGAAATGCTGCTAAGGGTCAGCTGAACTGTTCTTCAAGGACTTCTGTCTAACGTCCTGAAGAGTTATCAACATCTTATCCTTTTAGGCAATAGTTCCAATAACCATCGTTATTTTCTTAACGCCATCGTTAATTAGAACAAACAGTTGCCAAGTATTACCCAGGTCTGATACTTTTTCTATCTCTATCTCTTTCGCTTTCGCCACCCACCACTACTGGTGAATCCTGCGAAAACTCTTCGTTGATTTAGTTTTGGGTTGCTTTCTTACACTAGGACGAAACATAAGTTCAGTGATTTAGGGCTTTAATGGTTTTCTAGTTAGTCTCAGTCCACAATGAATATTATCTTCAAGAAAATAAGGATTATTGTGCTCAAGGATGTTTCTAACGTTGGTGTATGCAGGGCTAGGTGGATAGAAAAGGAATGATACCAAAGTAGATAACGTTTTGTGATCTGCAATCTGAAGATCTGCGCCATTGTAACCAATTTTCAGTCATGTCACCAAGAGTCCTCAACCACCGAATCCTTTCTTCTTAGTAACTCCGTTAATCAGGTAGGGTATATCTCCCCTCACGATCTAGGCAACAGTAAGAGACTTCATTGAATAGTGCCAGGTCTGGCCACCTTGAACCCTCATCCAACCTAGTCCAGCTTCCTGTAGAATGACACGTCGAGGTAGACAGTGACTGGGCATGCGCGGTACATGTCCAAGCCATCACAGTCGACTTAGGTTCACAACCCCATCAATCTAACTGCTTATCTTGTGTATTACCCTTCGCCTGACTTCAACATTGATCACACGATGATTCCTTAAACGCGAGTAATTCTATGAAGGTATCTGTGATCAAAACTCAGTAATCACTTCATGTCTTCTAATTTTTTGTCTAGAAATATAAAAATATGATGTCAATAGATACAGTAATTCATTGTTACTTATTAGAAATGAAACTTTGTTGATATGGTCTAAACTAATTAATTACAGTTTTCAAATGCGTTTTATTTGGTTCGGTTCAGAGTACAGAAACTTTTGTTTACTCTCAGAATACAGGTGACCTTCTCACCATGGTCCACTTGTCTGTACTTTGACACTTAGCAGAAGTTATAATCTTCTACGATAAAACTTCTTATTGTTATTCATTTTTCTCTCCAAATATAAGATAAATGCCTGTCTCTGACTGTAATACAAGACTAGCCATACTTCTAGGTCTTTCTATGATCTTTCCTTCATACAGGTCAAACATCACACCAATCACCCAGTTTGTATAACTGCATGGTACACACAGATGGCGTAACCTGATTCCTCTATAGAAACATAGTGGCAGTATTCTTACGGGCATACCAGATAAATGACATTTAACTTAATCATATACATCTAACGAAGGAGGAGGATTTCACGCCATATCGCGAACTAATAGAAGTAGGAAATTGTGGACCACTTGATTCCAACCTAGTGACTGAGAGTAAAGTACAGGTCGCAAAACCTGAAGGTCTTGCGTCCGTTCCTTGGCTAAGTAGAGTAAGGCGATTGGATCACACTGCTTAGTAGTTTCATACCAGCATGAAACAACTGTTCAGTGCTCTCAGGTGTTCAACAGTTCTCCAAATGATGTCAGTTCATGATGAATATCAACTAGAGATCAATAAGTGAGTCCTCGAAAACCTCCAAATTTAATATAAATATGATAAATAGATATACTATAGATAGATGATAATATGCAAAGAGAAACTTACTAATATCGCATCCCTTATGTTCCGTTTAATGATTGGGACATGATCAATTTTCTCCCTTGAGAAATAATGGAACGAAACAAGATAAATAAACAGCGTAAATTTGATCAACTAATAGTACAGAGACAAATTAACTACGTGTTAGATGTTTAAAAGTAGTTCGTGTGTGTTAAAGAACAATTAGTAAATTCATGGGAACAAATCCCTAGTTCGAGATAGAGAATATTCAGGAGCAGGTTACATGTGGGATAGTTTCTAGATTTCATGGCTTTTATTGGTAGTTAGCATAATGTTTTGCATATTATTAGTAGATTTTAACGCCATTGCAAAACTCGGACGTTAGTAGTTCTTCATTGAAGTCAAGGAAGCTACCACTTACCTGCTCTAAATATTATAAGGTGTCTCACAAGCATGTATTAACTAAATCACTTTTTATCAGATGGTAATCATGTCAATTCGGTGTCCATCTTTCGGAAGATACCAACAAATTAGTGAAGTGTTTTTGCCAGTATGATCTACTACAGATGTTTTCTGCTAATATACACCAAAAAGTAGATAATTTTGACTTACAACCTTGAGACTATTTTCCAAAAACATTCAACATTGAGTCGATTGTACCACTGTAATTGGTCATCAAACTCAATGGTTATGTTACCTCAAGCGACTCATGGGTTTCCATCAGCAATGAAGTTTAGGAAAAAAAGGTTTCTTCAGTGATTATTATATAAACTTGAAAACAGTTATTCTGAGCATAAATCGTAAAACTGTTTTACACATATGTGTCCATAACTGAGCTAAGAATATAATCGTTTCCGGTTGATACACGTCATTACATACAAACTGAGCGTTTTTTACTCTCAACTAATCAAAACTATTTTACCTATGCAGTGGCCTTCGACAAGAAAAATGTGTAGAAGTGGCATAATAAAGGAGAAAGTTGAGTTATATATAAGCATACATCACCCAAAACCTCGCCTGGTTAACTGGTTCACTAGTTACTAGCCGGTCCTAAGCTCGGATAAAGAAAGAAGGTCGGGCTTGGAGCTAGTAATTCTACCCCGTAAAACCACTCCAATCGCTAGAGAAACTTCATAAGCACAGAAAAAAATATATAAAACATGAAATTAAACTTATTCCTCGTCGGAATTAGAGGGACAAAACGATGCCGATTAGTGAAAGCCTTCGGGAAGACAATTGGCTGAGGTGTCTTCATTCGATGAAAGCGAAAGTAAACGTGGAGACATGGGATGTCCAAACAATGTTTGAAGCTGGCTTGCAAGGTTGTTCAGTTTGCAAAAGAGATGAGAAATTATAGCACAGAAGTGCTAGGAGTCTGCGAGGAATCAGCAGATGGAATGGAGGTGGACTCACCAAACTGTTAACTAAAGAGTCAATAATCTACTCTGATATTGTCACCCAAACGATAACCACGAGCACACTGAGTTGTGGAGTGGCTATCATGATGTCCCCTTGAAGAGGATTGATGGCTGTCTTTCACGCAGTAGTGAACCAACCTTCTGCTACAGGATCATGACAGCCAGATTCAACTCAAAAGGAAGGAAGAAGGTCACAATCATTCAATGCTACGCTACAAACCTACAAATAATGCGGATGAAGAGAAGAAGGAGGAATTCTACAGACATTGGAATCAGTAATAGACAAGACTGCAGTTGGTGACATCAAAATTCTAATGGATGACATGAATTCCAAACTGGGAGCGGATAACACAGGAAGAGAACTCATCATGAGTCGAGAAGCACTCGGTGAAATGAATGAGAATGGAAAGCTGTTTGCAGACTTCTGTGCATTCAACGATTTGGTGATTGGAGGAATTGTGTACAAACACAAGGATATTCACAAGCGATATGGATTTGATCTCACTATTCACCAGATGGACACACTGCACTGAAAATCAGGTCGACTTCATCTGAATGTGAAGAAGGTGGAGATGCTGCCTACTGGACACAGGATCAGATCACGAAGAGAGCAGATATAGTTTCAGACCACTGTCTACTGCAAAGAACCTTCCAAATCAAGTTGAAAACCTTCAGGGAAGTTGGTTATAGACCACAGTTCAAGTTCAACACTCAGAACAAAAACTGAAGGACGAAACTACAAAAGAAATCTTCACGTCGGTCAGCTATCAGGACAAAGTGGGAGATATCGAGCCACATTCCTGAAGAAACCTCCTCGGAGAAACACTAGAACTGTTTGAAAGCTATGTGGAATGAAACCTGCATAACCATATTAGGAAGGAAGCAGAAGAGGCAAGACAAGGAATGGATCTCAATGGACACATGGAAGCTGATAGAGCAGGGAGAGAAGATGGTGAGACAGAAGATGAACCAGAGTAGTATAAGATACACAACGAAAAGACGAACTAAGTACATCATATAAAACACTACACTGGACAAAGAGGTGAAGAAGAGTGCGCACAAAGACAAAAGACACTTCTACGACACACTGGCAAACGAAGCAGAACAGGCTGTTGGTAGGAGAGACAGAGACCTGACAACATTGTATTAAATAACCAGGTTACTTGCTATCTGGGAAGAGATCGACACACATGAAACTAATAAAAGATGATGAAGAAAATCTAATTACGAAAGAAGAGAAACAAATGAAACGATGGGCTGACCATTTCAAAAAGCTCTTGAATCGACTACCACCTGCACTTCGTCCAGAAATACCACCAGCAATGACAGAACTACCAGTGAAAACAAGCCCTCCAACAAAAACAGATGTCCTGAATGCCGTAAAACTGCTGAAATTCGGGATGAGAGTCAGATCAGATGGAATTCCACCAGAAGCAATGCGAATAGACGCAGAGACAACAACGGACATGCTCACACCACTATTGTAGAAGGTCTGGAAGGAAGGGAAGGTACCTGGGGATTGATTGGAAGAAGGGCTACTTTGTCAAACTCCCGAAGAAGGGAGACTTACGTTTTTGCAAGAACTGACAAGCAATCATGCTGCTGTCCACCTCGAGCAAAATATTAATCCGCATCATCCTGGAGAGACAAAAAGATGTGCTGGATTCAAAATTACTACCAGAACAGGTTGGATTCAGGTAGAACAAATCATATACGGAACAAACTGCAACGCTTCGCTACGCATCATCATAGCACAGAGCATAGAATGGCAGTCAACTCAACCTCAACTTCATCTTTGAAAGGGCCTTTGACAGTGTCGACCGAGAAGTAAGTTGACACCTGCTTCAACACTACGGAATACCACAAATCTTTATCAAACTAATTCAACAGCTATATGTAAACGCCACATGCTAAGTGATCCACAGTGGAAAGCTCAGTGACGCCTTTGAAGTGAAGACAGAGACAGGAGTAAGACAAAGCTGCAGCCTACTATCACCGATGATCTTCCTGATTGTGGTCGACTGGATCATACAGCAAACTATGAGGAGCGAAAAGATGAGCATAGGCTGGCCGGAACGATGAAAAGACCCTAGAAGATTTAGATTTCGCTGATGGTGATGAATGTTTAATGTCTTATATCACACAAACTCGAAGATCTACAGGCGGGAACCAACAAGTTGGCAGAAGGGATAGGGCATAGAAGACGGGAATTCCTTCAAGTGAACGTAGAGAAGACAGCGGTGATGTAGATACCCAAGCAATACCACCATCAAAAACAAGAAGCACCAATCACCATCAACGGGAGAAATGTAAAGGGTGTTTCTCTTTCACCTACACACCTACATATTAACGTACCTGGGCAGCATCGTTTCAACTACAGGCAACACAGGCACAGTGTAAATGTCAAAGTAGCCAGGATCGGAAAGACAACTAGACAGACCTTTCCACATTAATCTGAAACTAATCAGTGTAGAGATACACTCCACTCCACTGCACTGCACTCAGCAAAGAGCGTGAACAAGATCCTACTTTTCAACGCTAATTCAATCAAGTCAGTCAGTGCTTCCATGTGATGGTTGAGAGACTTGACACGTTACGAAGAGCATTTCCAACAAACTGCAGACATATATCACATGAACAGCTGCCACCTACGCTCGCTCACTCGATACTGAGACTGAAGATGGAGACCAGATGACCAGAATAATAAGAAGAAGCAAGGAGGAACTCTGGTTGGCTGGTTGGCTGGCAATCAACCAATCAACCGACAAAGCAAAACCCTATCGCCCAACAATATGTAGAAGAAGAAAGTGGAGATGGATTGGATTGGGCATACACTGAGAAAGCCATTGGGAGACCACGCGCCAGGTACTCGAGTGGAACCCAATGGGAAACGGCAAGTTGGGCGTCTCAGTTGAACTTGACATGGGGGAGATCGTGTGAGGGAGAAATGAGAGCTTCTGGGCAGTCATGAAGCGAGGTTCGAAGGACTGCAGAGAAGAGAGTGCAGTGGAGGCGTGCTACTGAAGCCCTATGTTCCATTAGATACTCAAGGGAAAATAATAACGTAATAATATATAATCATGTGTGTAGAGTGTCCAGCTGATGAGTACTACTGAGACTTATGAAATCATTAAATTCTGCTTCTTTTTCATAATGAAGAGTAGTGTAGAAAGAGAAAATACAATGGTTCTGTTTTAATCAATGTTGATTTACGTGATACTTGGTGTCAATCTACTTGTTTTTAATATTTCCAGTAATTCAGACACATAGACAGCACTTTCATACACTAGTTTTTATTACCGTCCAATCAACTCAATTTCATCATGCTTATCTAATAACCCATCCATTTCTTCTTGTTTTAATTTGCTTCATGGTGTTTAGTAGTAGGATCTAAGATGCACGTTTTGTCCTGTTTAAGACTTGTCAGCTACATGTACTTGGACCCTAGTGAGTAATATTGTTCATATTAAGTTTTGAGCTTAGAACCTATCGCTTCAAACAATAAAGAGTTATCCACTAAGCCATCATTGATATTAACTCTTGACAATAACTTTACACTTGAACCAAATCGAGAAACACTGAAAATATGACAGTAATAGACAATGGTTTGGCCTTAGTATAGGACTCCTCAGGAATGCATACTTACGGCGCCACGAAAGCTTAGGTGACATTAAGTGCTCAT